TGTGCATATTATGTATTATTTATACATTGCTGCGCATTGTGCTTTACAGAGGAATGAAAAACAAAGGCCCCTGCCCTGAGGAGTTTACAATCTGAGGTCAGATTTTGAAAATCTGTACTCAGGTGATGACAATGGAACTATGCTCATGAACAAAGTTATGCACATGTGCAAAGGTGAACTGAGCAAAAGCTTGCTTCTTTCCTCTCAATAACCCCACTGATATATTGTGTATGTGAATCAAGTATGTAAAATTAGACATAAGGGAAAGGTTGGAACCATAGCAGCTCTGGGGAGTAACTTTAGGCAGCTTCTGTAGCTTTTAACCCCTGACCTGGATGCACATCAACACCTTTTAAGTGGCTTAAAGCACTCCTTATTCATCTTTATGTTACCCCATTCCAGGGCAGGATTACCTTTGCTCCTGCTTTATTAACTAGTGGCCAATCTCTGTAGCTTTTCCTCCCAAGTTGAAGTCCTCCAGCATTGCAGTTGCAGGATGCAGTGGGACTGCTGTGCCTCCTGCTGCTGCTTGCTCTGACCAGCTCTGCTCCCAGCGGGAGCAGAGGCGGCTGGGTCCAAGCGGAAGAGGGACCTCATGCCACTTGGACCTGGTTCCACTCCCCACCAGGAGCAGATCCAGCTGGGGAGCAGAGCTCCATCACCCATTTGGACTTGGTTGGGTCTGTTCCTGGCAGGAAACGGAGCCAAGTCCGAGTGACACTGTTCCTTCTCTGCTTGGATCTGGCTGGCTCTGTTCCTGACAGGAGCAGAGATGGTCGGAGTAGTGGTGGGAGGCACCATGGCTTCCAGGAGCTGGGGCTACAGCATTCGCTCTGCTTTCGGGGAGCAGGGAGCCTGTCCTTCCCTTGTCCTGTACCTGCTCACCAAGCCTCTAATGGAAAGTCACAGCTGTGCAGGTGAGGAGCAAGTTTTTTGCCTTAATTTGTGACTGCTCCACTAAGCCAAACAACTCTAAACCAGTTAACATTTGGTCAGCTTACAGCATGAGGTCTGATAAGGCCCTGATTGTTAGAGGCCTCCCTCTAGTCTAGGACTTCAGAGACCCAAGCTCCTTGCTTCATCACAGACTTCCTGAGTGACCTTGAGGAAGTTATTTAGCCTCTCTTTGATTGAGGTCCTCGTGCGTAAAATGGGAATAACCGAGTTGTGAAAATAAGTATGTTAAAAGACTGTGTGTAATGGGATACTTACTATAATGGGGATCATATCATGACCTCAAAAAGATGACTGCAACAGCAAAGGATGATGACATATATTAATTGCATGCATGCATCATGTTTAGCAGCACTTTACACTATAATCAAAATGTGTATTTAAACTGATTTATACTTCTCAGTATTTAGAATGGAGTCTACTACAGACCAACAACATAAAACAGCAACAGTAACATTTTGCATGGCCAAATCTCAGTTAAGCATCCACAGAGCTTTTTTTTAATTTATTTATTTTTATTTTTTTTAATTTTTTTGAAGTTGCTGCCTCTGTGTGAGGAAGGAGCTGTATCAATATGAAAGGGGACACCATGTCTCCTCCGTCTTTTTGGCAGCTTGTTTATGTTGTGTGTGTGACAGTACTTTGTGGGCCCAGGTCTGGCAACTGCTTTACAGCTTCCATGTCAGGCAGTTGAAACCATTCCACACCCGTAGGAACTGCTCAGCAGCTTGCAGGAACAGGCCCTTAAAGATAAGAAAATAGGCCTGCGAAAAAATCTAGCAGATGGCTGAGGGTCAGGCTCAGGACCTGCAACCACTTTAGCTAAATATGAAAAATGAGTTTGGTTTCCAGTTTCATGTTGAGTCACTTTAATGTGAGTGGGTTTCTTGGGTTTGTTTTCTCTTTGCTTTTAACAAGTGCGGAGACAAAAAGAAAGAAAAACAAAAATGAGATCATTGTTTAATCAAGCAGGCGGAAATGTTAGCTCTTGAAATATTTTGTGCTATGCAGGGTTTTAAATTTTTTGGGGGGGATGGGGAGGGAAAACTCTTTGGGCTGACTGGAAAAAAACTGACTGATATTTCTCCAAGTGTCACACTCTAGTTCCTTGGAAAATCAACAAAGAGGCACTTAGTTTTTCCCTATATTGATGTAATTAGGCATGAAACCATTAAAATGGAGCAAAAATCTAAATGGGAGTGCATTATTCATAGTTTTACTAGAGAAAGACTATATTACCTTTGTATTGGGCACTGGTTTGAATAGTACTGGATGCTGTGTACAGCCCTGGTATTTCTACTACCAGTTTGAGATGTTAGAGAAGGGTCAAAGAAGAGTCACATGAATGACTTAAAGGAGAAAACATGACTAATGGCAATGGACTCTAGGAGCTTGATCTACCTAGCTTACCAGAAAAGAAAGCTAAGGGTGACTTGATCTCAACCTGCAAGTGCCTACAGGAGGACCAGAGACTCATAATAGATTTCATAGGGTTGTAGAAGACCTCAAGGGGCATCTGTCCCTCCCACATGAATGCAGAAATATTATTCCTAAATCATCCATATCCAATACTTTTCCAGTCTCCTCTTGAAAACCCCCAGTGTAGGAGATTCCAAAACTCCTGTGGGCAGCCTATTCCACTGTCTCACTGTTCTAATTCTCTGGAAGCTTTTCTGAAGATCTACTTTACATCTATCTTGCTGCAATTTAAAGCCATTGCTTTGTGTCCTCCCCTCTGTGCCAAGGGATCATTGGCCAAAGGAGAATTGCTCAGAGCTCCAGTATGAAACTGGAGATAGGCCTGTTGGAAGTCTTTAGGTTAGGGTCAGAGGGGAGACCAGCATCATGGTTGATGTCTGCTATAGACAACCAGACTAGGAGGATGAAGTGGACAATGCTTCCTTCAAATAGCTAATAGAAGTCTCCCAACCACCGGCCCTGGTTCTCATGGGGGATTTCAATCACCCTGACATCTGCTGTGAGAGTAACACAGCAGTGCACAGGCAATCCAGGAAGTTTTTAGAAAGTGTTGGGGACAATTTCCTGGTGCAAGTGTTGGAAAGGCCAGCTAGGAGCCAGGCTCTTCTTGATCTGCTGCTCAGAAACAGGGAAAAATTGGTGAGGAATGTAGTACTGGAAGGAAACTTGGGCAGCAGTGACCATTAGATGATTGAGTTCAGGATCCTGAGGAAAGAAAGGAAGGAGAGCAGCAGGGTATGGACCCTGGACTTCTGAAAAGCAGACTTTGATTCATTCAGGGAACTGATGGGTAGGGTCCCCTGGGAGGCCAGTCTTAGGGGAAAAGGAGTCCAGGTGAGCTGGCTGCACTTTAAAAAGAAACCTTACTGAGGGCAGAGGAATGAACCATTCCCATGCACAGGAAGACTAGCAGGTATGGCAGAAGACCAGCTTGGCTTAGTAGCGAACTCTTCAGTGAGCTAAAATATGGAAAAGAAGCTTACAAGAAGTGGAAACTAGGACAAACAACTAGGGAGGAGTGTAAGAGTATTACTTGGGCATGCAGGGATGAATCAGGATGGCCAAAGCACAACTGGAGTTGCAGATAGCAAGGGATGTGAAGGGTAACAAGAAGGGTTTCTATAAGTATGTCACCAACAAAAAGATGATCAAGGAAAGTGTGGGTCCTTTACTAAATGCGGGGGTGCAACCTAGTGCCAGGTGATTCAGAAAAGGCTCAAGTAATCAATGCCTTTTCATAGAATCATAGAAAATTAGAGTTGGAAGGGTCCTCAGGAGGTCATCTAATCCAACTCCTTGCTCAAAGCAGGACAATTCCCAACTAGATCATCCCAGCCAAGGCTAGCTGGGTCATAAAAATCTCCAAAGATGGAGATTCCATCACCTGTCTGGGAACCTGTTCCAGTGTTTTACTACCCTCCTAGTAAGAAATTTTTTCGTAATATCTAACTGAAACTTCCCTTGCTGCAACTTAAGACCATTGCTCCTTGTTTTGTCATCTTCCGTCACTGAGAACAGGCTAGCTCCATCCTCTTTCAAACCCTCCTTCATGTAGTTGAAGGACGCTATTAAATCCCCTCTCAGTCTTCTCTTCTCTAGACTAAATAAGTCCAGTTCCTTCGGCCTTTTCTCATAAGTCATGTGCCCCAGCCCCTGAACCATTTTCATTGCCCTCTGCTGGACACTCTCCAATATGTCCACATCCTTTCTATAGTGGAGGGCCCAAAACTGGACACAGTACTTCAGATTTGGCCTCATCAGTATCAAATAGAGGTTAAGAATCACTTCTCTTGCCCTGCTGGCAACACACCTACCAATGCCGCCCCAGTGTGCTATTAGCCTTCTTGGCAACAAGGGCACACTGTTGGCTCATATTCAGCTTATTGTCCACTGTAACCCTCAGGGCCTTTTCTGCAGAGCTGCTGCCCTGCCAGTCAGCCCTCAGCCTGTACTGGTGCAAGGGATTCTTCCATCCTAAGTGCAGGACTTTGCAGTTGTCCTTGTTCAACCTCATGTGATTCCTTTTGGCCCAATCCTCCAATTTATCTAGGTCACTCTGGGCACATCTACACATACACCTGACTGCAGAGTTGGTACTGTGCAGTCCTGGCAGCACACAGGTTATTTTCAACCCTACTGCACAGTAGCAATGAGCTACTGTACAGTAGTGGTGGCATCACAGTTAGAGCTTGCCAATGCTATATCATCATAGCTCATTGCTACAACAATGTTGTGTCTCATGTAGATGCATTCTATGAATCCTAGCCCTACCCTCCAGCATATCTACTACTCCTCTAAGCTTAGTGTCATCTGCATACTTGCTGAGGGTTTACTGTATGCCATCTTTCAGGTTGTTGACAAAGATATTGAACCAGCCCCAGGACTGACCCCTAGAGCACTCCACTTGATACTAGCTGCCAACTAGACATCAAGGCATTGATTGCTACCCTCTGAGCCTGAGGCTCCAAACAGTTTTTTATCCATCTTACAGTCCATTCATTCAGCCTGGACTTCCTTAGCTTGCCCTTTTCACCTCATTCTTCACAGGCAAGGTCAGCTGTCAGACTACTGCACCTTTGAAGCACAGTTTGGGGAGGAGGTGAGCAGCCAACAGTGGCAAAAGAACAAGTTAGGAACTATTTAGAAATGCTGGACATGTGCAAGTCCATAGGGTTGGATAGGATGCACCCAAGAGTGTTGAGGGAGTTGGCCAGTGTGTTTGCAGCGCCATTGGCCATCATCTTTGAAAGTTCATAGCGATCGGAAGAGGTCCCAGATAATTGGAAAAGGGCAAATATAATGCCCATCCTCAAGAAAGGGGACCATCCTCAAGAAAGGGAAGAACAAGGATCCAGGGAACTACAGACCAGTCAGCCTCACCTCAGTCCCTGGAAAAATCATGGAGCAGGTCCTCAAGGAATCCATTTCTAAGCACTTGGAGGAGAAGAAGGTGATAAGGAACAGTCAGCATGGATTCACCAAGGGCAAGTCATGCCTGACCAATCTGATTGCCCTCTGTGATAAGTTGCATGGTTCAGCTGATACAGGAAAAGCAGTGGACGTGATATACCTTGACTTTAGCAGGCTTTTGATATGGTCTCTCACACAATTCTCACAAGCAAGCTAAGGAAGTTTAGGTTGGATGGATGACTGTAAGGTGGATAGAAAACTGGCTGGATTGTCTGGCTCAGTGGGTAGTAGTCAATGGCTTGATGTCTAGTAGGCAGCCGGTGTTAAGTGGAGTTCCCCAGGGGTTGGTCCTGGGGCCAATTTTGTTCAATATCATAGAATCATAGAATCAATGAGTCAGAAGGGACCTAGACAGATCATCGAGTCCGACCCCCCGCCATGGGCAGGAATGAGCACTGGGGGTGGGAGGGGTCATAAGACCCCAGCCAGGTGCCTATCCAGTCTCCTCTTGAAGATTTCCAGGGAAGGTGAGAGCACCACCTCTCTGGGAAGCCTATTCCAGGCTTTGGCCACCCTTACAGTGAAGTAGTTCTTCCTAATATCTAACCTAAACCTATCCTCCCTCAGCTTGTGGCCATTGTTTCCGGTGACTCCAAGGGGGGCCCTGGTGAACAGACTTTCCCCAAGTCCCTGCTGCTGGCCCCTGATAAGGTTGTAGACAGCCACAAGATCCCCCCTCAGTCTCCTCTTGCGGAGACTGAAGAGATTCAGGTCCCTCAGCCTCTTCTCATAGGGCTGGCCCCAACCATACGAGTGGTCCTCCTCTGGACCCTCTCCAGGTTCTCCACGTCCTTCTTGAAGTGCGGCGCCCAGAACTGGACACAGTACTTCAGCTGCGGCCTGACCAGCACCACATAGAGGGGGAGCAAGACCTCTCTGGACCTGTTAGTGATGCCCCTGTTGATGCATGACAGGGTGCGGTTGGCTCTGCCTATTGCTTCGTTGCATTGGCAACTCATATTCATCCTGGAGTCAATCCTGACTCCAAGATCCCTCTCTGCCTCTGCGGTGCCGAGAGGGGCAGCCCCTAACCTATAACCATAATGCTGGTTCCCTCTCCCCAGGTGCAGCACTCTGCACTTGTCCTTGTTGAACCGGATCCTGTTGAGATCCGCCCACTTCTCTAACCTATCCAGGTCTGCCTGGATGCGGTCCCTGCCTGCCGGTCTTCATCAATGACCTAGAAGATGGGATGGGGTGCACCCTCAACAAGTTTGCGAATGACACCCAGCTGCAGAGAGTAATGGATATGCTGGATGGTACGGTTAGGTTTCAGAGAGACCTAGACAAATTGGAGGATTGGACAAAAAGAAATCTCATGAGGTTCAATAAGGACAATTGCAAAGTCCTGCACTTAGGATGGAACAGTCCAATGCACAGATACAGGCTGGGAACCAACTGGTTAAACAGCATCTCTGTAGAATAGGACCTGGGGGTTACAGGGGACAATACCCTGAATATGAGCCAACAGTGTGGCCTTGTTGCAAAGAGGGGTGACAGCATACTGGTCTGTATTACTAGAAGCATTGCCAGCAGATCAAGGGAAGTGATTATTCCCCTAAATTTGGCACTTGTGAGGCCACATCTGGAGTACTGTGTCCAGTTTTGGACTCCCCACTATGGAAAGGATGTGGACAAGTTGGAGAGAATCCAGCAGAGGACAATGAAAATGGTTAGGGGGAGGGGGCACATGACTTATGAGGAAAGGCTGAGGGAACTGGGTTTATTTAGTCTGCAGAAAAGAAGACAGGAGGGGGTGGGGAGAATTGCAGCCTTGTTAGGAGGTTTGATAGCAGCCTTTAAGAAGGGAAGTTAGGTTGGATATTAGGAAAAATGTTTTCACATGGAGGGTAGTAAAGCACTAGAATAGGCTACCCCAGGAGAGATTGTGTAATCTCCATACTTGAATGTTTTATGACCCAGGTAGACAAAACTTTTGCTGGGATAATCTAGTTGGGGATGGTCCTGCTCTGAGCAGGGGGTTGGACTAGATGACCTCCCAAGGTCCCTTCCAACCCTAACTTTCTATGATTCCAACACACCTAACTTTGTGTTTTCTATTCTCACTAGACAACATGCAGACCCTTGCTTGAGTAGGATCAGATCAGCACCTGCATTCATAAATTTAAATTTTAATCGTATATTCCACACTTGTTGATATTAGCATCATGAAAACCTAGCCATCTGTAGTGTTACTAAAGATAGGCTTTGCATTTGTAGGCATAACTTGTACATTCCTCACTACCAGGGTTTGGGGGTAGAGGGGAGGTGTGAAATCTGTACTGAGGCATCCTCCAGCTTTGCCCTGGCTCTAATAGAGCCCTTCCACACTGGTCAGGAGATGCTAGGACCTCTGCTTAGATGGTTAGCCATCTAGACTAGGACAGATTTCTTTGTTACAGACATGTATCTAGCACAGTGGAGGCCCTGACCCATAGTTCCATTGCAGTAGGAATAGTAATAATAATTCATAATAAATAATCATATCTATCTCCAATGTGACTAAACATATTCTAGCAAACAAGCTACTGCAATTTCCCTTTTCACAGTGAAGGCAAATCAAGGCATTCCAATCTGGCCATATTCTTTAATAACATTTTTTGTCTAAATAAAATGTATTTATTTTATGTGGTCTCTACCTGGGGGTCAGGCAGCTGGAGAGGGCAGTGATACATATTGAAGGGTTCCATCCAATCTTTCTTGCCCAAGTAGATGGGACTGGGTAGGTCTGCAGTTTGGATCCACTTGATCAGTCCTTGAATGTGGCCAGCTGTTCATGCCCAGTATTACATGACGCCCATGCATAAAACAACAGATAAATCCACTTGCCGGGTGTTTTTTCAAATATGATTGCAATGCAAAGGATTATCAGTGATGACACTAGGTTTCAGTCTAAGCTCCATTTAGATAATTGGGCAAGCTGACATGCGTTTCAGAGCCTCTGTTTCAAACTGCTGGCAGGGATCCTGAACCAGCAGGCCAGCCTGAGCCAAGTACCCAAGCAGCCACGACTGCAGTGAGTCACCAGGTAACAAGAACTCTGCCTCAGTTTAGGAACAGCAGGCATCCTGACTGGCTGCTAGGAGTCCCCGCTATTCGTTTAGACCCAACAGGGGCTGTGGGTATCCAAGCCAGTCTAGAGTTTTGACCCAGTCTGCTGTGGCAAGCCTTTTGATTCCTGTTCTCTCTGGTTTGTCCTGGTTCCTGACCCTGGCATCAGCTTTTTCCTGGACTCCAGCCTCAGATTTCCTCTACAGATCCATTTCCTGGTTCCTGACTCCTGGCTTGATTCAGTGCTCAGACTTTGCCCTGCAGACTACCCTTTGGACTTTGGTAACTTGGCTGTTGATTTTTTTCTGGATCCTGATCCCTGGCTTGATTCATTGCTTGGACTTCACCCTGTGGATTGCCCCTCAGCCGTGGTAACTTGGTTGCTGGTTTTCTGGATCCTGACCTTGGCCTGTATACTGGACTCTGCCTCTGGATTTTTCTCCAGACCTCATAACTTGGCTCCTGAATTCTGACCCAGCCTCTGGCTCCTGCCTTCCCTCAATGGCCTAACCATTAGGCAAGATTGCCTACACCCTGGTCCCTAACAGTTTTCTGCAGAGTACTTAAACTTGATGCCAACAGGCTGAGAACAATTGACGCTTGCACACTGTGGGCGTTTTTACAGAGAGCCACTCTAATTAAAGCACCTGCAGCGTCTCATGTATCAGTGCCCCTGCTTTTCAAAATGGTGGTGGGGGCACTTTAACTAAAGCTTGTCAAGCAAGCTTTAGTTAAAGCACCCCCACGGCCATTGTGAAGCATGGGGATGCTGATACACGAGATGCAGAGGCTGCTGGAGCGCACTAATCAGCACACTCCAGCAGACTTGATTAATCCAGGGTGCTCCAATGCACTGTAATTACAGCTCATTAGAGCAGCCTCCCTGCATGTCTACAGGCACCCTGTGTGTCAATGGACACCTTTTTAAAAATCCTGGGCTGTACATAGTAACTGGTATAAGTGGGAGGAGGCTTTACGTGAACTTCTAAAAATACCCATTTTGGGAAGAATGAAATCCTTTCCATAGCCCCCTGCCCCCACCCCCTTTTTCGTGTAATTTTTTTTTCCTTTTAGTTTTTGGGAAATAAGGCTTCTTACCACTCTCTCCAGCACTGAATACTGGTTTGATCATACCAGGCTTCTTTAAAGTCACATACAGGCTTTGCAGTCCTGTCACTTCATGTTAGGCCCTCTTCAGTCATCACTTTCCCAGCAGAAGATGAAGATATTCACAGAGTGGGGATGACACTGGTGAATTTCCTTGATCTGCAACTGTAAAGTTGGCAGGGAAACAATGCAGGCTATGTTTTCCAGAAGCAAGGCAAGAAGCCAGGAACAAGGAGCAAAACTGGCTAAAGCAATCAGCTTCAACGTGCTTTAGTCTAAAAAAAATAAAAGAGGAAAAGTCAAAGCAATTGGTACACAACAAGCGGTTGTCTTCAGCAGGCTTGCTTATGGCTTCATCTTTCATTCCTGACTGCCTTCTCCCCACTGTCTTTGTTGTCAAATGTATGTACAAAGCCCATTTCAAAATACAGTAAAAGCTTGGCAAAAAGTCACTTTGCGTGATAGTTAGAAATGTTAATTCTTGCCTGACACAGAAGAATCTCCAACGTGTGATCCCCACCATGCTACTATCCAGTGGCTGGTTTATCCAAGGCCATTTGGCCCCAGTCAGTGAAAAGAGGTCTTGGCCTGAAGCCCTTGAAGTCTTCCTTGCCTGGTAGCTTGGCTATGGGAGGTCAAATGAGAGGGCTTTGAACTATTCCCTAGCATCAGCCTCTCATTAAAAGGATAGGGAGGCAGAGGCCAAGCAATGGAATTAACGGATTGTCTAAGGCACTTCCAGCCCACACCCAAAAGCACAACCATGAAGCAGCCCTACACACTTGCTTATCCCCTGCACATGTCAATGCATGAAAATGAAGCAACATAGCTGCCTTAAAAACGTGATACATGCATGCTCAGCACCACCCTGAGGCTCTTTGTCTTGGCCATGCTTATTGGTATGCATTCAGTACCACCCTAAGGCAGTGGCACAACCTTATTTCCAAGATTTGGCCCATGTGGGGGCGGCACATGTGTCAGTGTGACACTGCCAAGCATGGAATGTGGGCAGTGTAGGCAGACCCCACATTTTAGATTGATTGACTTAAAAAACAAATCATAGGATGAAACAGTATTAGCAGTAATTTGCAACAAGTACGTTTTGCAGTAACTAAAACTTGTGCCCCAATCCCCCTCAGTATGGTTCAGCAATCCCAGCCTCTCCTTAACCCAAACAATGCCAACAAGTTCTACAAACCAAAAACATGTTTCATAACTACAAGGGATGGAGCAGAAAGTATTTGAAAAGCTGTGTAGCATTGGAAGTGCACATATACCTGCAGAATTCTTCAGATTTCTGTAGTTTCATATATGTATCCAAGATAGGCCGACCTCTCTGCTGAACAAAATTACCCTCTCATACCTTCTGGGTAGAATTGTTTACAATGGTAAATTAAGAAGCCAGAGATTTTCCTCTTGGGTGATATGAAATCCAAGGATTACTTTGACTGCTACATACGATAAATTACACAGTAGATATCTTTTACAAAGCTGATGGCTTCAGACAGTAATCTTTAAGCTGAACTGACTGGCGTTAATGTGACTGAACCTAATTGAAAACAAACCCAATTGTAAAGACAAACCTATTTGGTCAATATACATCCAATCTGAAGATGGCATTCCCTAAGCATATAACAAGTCCATTATTCTTCCTTCACATCATAATAAACTAGAACAGATGTCTCCTCTTCCAGAAACCATTTATTGATATATTTTCCAAATTAGGAAGGGAAAAAAGCATTAATTGCTTTATATTTGCTACAGCTCTGCATTCTGATGTTAGTCTTTATCCTGCTTCTCTGACGCCTGTTAGATTTTATTCAATTAGTTTCACTTGTTACATTTGCCTGGAAAAAACAACTTCCAGTATTTCTGTTTTGTGTAACAACATGCTTTTATGTTCTAGTATGTAAATACCAATGTATATCTATAATTAAATTAAAAATATGGCACTGCTCTAAGTGAATCATGACAACTGAATTACAATTCTGTTTTTCTGGCACTTTCCTTTGCCAGGCTTGTCTGTCTTTTCCTCACTTACTCTGTTCAACGTTGCACTTTTAGTGGTGGCAGAGCTGAGATGGCAGAGATTTTTGGAGGTGATCCTGGAAGTGAACACATTCCCCAAAAACTCCTGGTACAAACAACTGATTGACCCAGTGCCTCATCCTGCAAGCTACCGACCTTCACCAGGAGGTGCAAAGTATCTTCAACTCCCATTAAATTAGCAGTGAGCTAGGAGCCTGTGCCTATGGCCATACCAACCTCACCATGCCTGATCTCCTCCAATCTTGGATGCTAAGCAGTGTCCAGCACCAGGGAATACCAGGTGTTGTATTGTGCCTGAAGAAACACCAATGATGCACAGTATCTAAAGTGCCTGAGCAGTTGCAGTGGCCTCACAACTGACTTGACTTAAAGAGTTCTCAGTACCTAGCAGCACATGGGCCACACAGGTATAGATGCCTTCTGTGTTCTTGTTATGTGCGGCATGCATATGGCTACAACCAGGCTGTCAAATTTTTTTCTTTTAAAGAAATTGTTTGTGTTCCAACCCAAATCAGCCAAATCAAGTCCAAATCCATGAATCAGTTCAGAATCATAAATGGCCCTACAACCGCCAAAAATCCTCTACCCCCACCAGGGCCTTCAAATGTTTCCAACATCTTTTGGTGGACATCCTATGTGCAGGCCCAAGCCTGGAGGCTTGGGGTTCAAACGCCTCCAAGTTTTGCTTGCCCTGCTGGGCTTCTGAACCACTTCAAACAGCTCCCAATGCATGAGAAACTGATTGGTGCCATGAAGCACACAGCACAATCCAGATACTGTAAATAGAATTACTATATAGTAATTCTGTCTACTATATATATGTAATGGAGCACAGAGAGACTGAATTGCCCAAGATCCCACAGGAAGTTGGCAGAGGGTACTTCTGTAGTGACCTCCAGGCTCAGTAAATACAGGCATACAAGCATGAGAGGAAGTACACAATAAACTATTTGTGGAGCAGTAGACAAGCCTCTGCACTCCTTTAGTCTCTTTACCTAACTAGCTCACTGAACTGAGGGACCACTCCCAGTTCCCGGCTTCCTCAGTCTCCTGTTAGGGATCCTCCCTAAATTATAACCTTTATCATTGCAACTACCTTTGGTTCAAGCTCTAATTAAAGGGAATCACATGGACGTCTCAAAAGAAAACCATGACTCCCTAGATCTGGGATTTCGCTATACTTGCTTTGGCTTTCCTGGTTAGGTATTCAGTTCCTTTAAGACTAGGTTTACATCATCCATCAGGTGGGCATAGCAGAGTGGTAAGAAAGCACTTTTCTCACCTGCAACAACAGCAAGAACCAAGGACTAATATCTCAGTAGGGATGTT